ACAAAGGAGGATGAGAACCTGAGCCCTGGACTTGCTCACTCCAGTCCCCAACTTCTGTGCTCTGGGTACAGCCACACCCAGAACCAAGGAGAGAACAGAAGACATTCCAGACGTCCATGGAGAACCCTACACCATCCCAGACTTATTCAGCCTGCCCCTGCAAAGCTTTGGCCATGATCAGACCCCAGGCGAGGGCATCAATGCAGCCTCATACCGGCAACAGCAGCTGATGGCTGAGCACTATGTGCTAAGCCTGGCTCCAAGCCCTCTCAGTGAACCAATTAATTTCAACCTCTTAGCAACTTTACAACATGCCATTCTCCCCCATGTTACAGATAAACTGTTGGAGGCAAGAGAGATCACAGACAGGTCCTGGGCTTTAGCTCAGTGATAGGGTGCTTGCCTAGCAAGTGTAAGGCCCTGAGTTTGGTCTCCAGCTCAGGAAAAAAATAAATAATAAAGACAAAATCATAAAGAGGTCCTAAGGCTCTGAAGCTCATAGCGTTAACCTACCTACTTTGTGTTTCTTGCTAAACACTTGCAACATGCTTAGGTTCTTTCCCACTTCAACTGATGCAGAAGGCTAGACGTGTAGGTCAGTGGTGGAGTACTTGTTTAGCCTGCTCAAGGCCTAGGGTTTGATCCCCAGCACTGAAAAAAAGAAAAAAAGAAACAGAAACAAGAGACTGAGACAGAGCTGGGATTGGAACCTCGTCTGTTTCCCAGGCCCCACGCTATTAGAGTTGACTTGCTATTATTGCAGGCTCTTGAGTAGCTCAAGGCTTTGGCTCTTGGGGCTGACTGGGAAGGGTAGCTGACATCAGCCACATGGTTGTTCTGAAATGAATTTTCTAGATAATCTACTTGGGCCTAAATGTGCTTGGCACATAGAAATCATCTGAGCCCTCCTTGGCTGCTTTTGAGCCAGCCCTGAGTCTGGCCTCGAGGCACAGAGGCAGTGAACCTGACTTGAGCACACTTTACCATCTGCCAAGCCTGTCCTGATTTGAATCCTGCCAGGGCTGTGACCCTGGGGCAAGTTGCTTTTCTTATTTGTGAGTTGAGGAGATGAGTTTTCCAGCCCTGTCTCATTGATAGATTCATTCATTCATTCATTCATTCTTCACTTTTGGTGTATGTGAGTGCACACGGAGTCACTCTTGCACATGCCATATGCTAGCTGGCCCTCAGGCCTCTACAAATTCTCTTGTGTCTGCCTCCCATCGTCCCATAGGAATTCCGGGACTACAGACACATGCACTACTGCATCAGGCTTTATATGGGTTCTGGGGATCTGAACTCATGTGAAGCTTGCACAGCAAGTGCTTTACCCACTGAGTCATCTCAGCGCTTTTTAAAAAATGCAGTCTTGGGGCTGGCGAGATGGCTCAGTGATTAAGAGCACTGACTGCTCTTGTAGAGGACCTGGGTTCGATTCCCAGCACCCACATGGTGGCTACAAACCATCCTTAACTCCAGTTCCAGGGGAATCCGAAGCCCTCTTCTGACCTCCGCGGCATTGCACAATGTGGGTGCACTCACATACATGCAGGCACTACAGTCATACACATAAAAATAATAAAATATTTTAAAAACGCAATCTCAATCATTTTTAAGCATAGAGTTACAGCAGTGTTAGATACAGTTCCATTGCTGTGAAACTCTCCTACAAATGTTTCATAGCTTATAAAAACCAATGCAATGTTCACTAAACAATTCCCTAGTCCTTCTGCCCCCAGACTGTGGAAATGCCCCCACCATTCTACCTCTGCTTCTGTGAGTCTGTTTCCTCTAGAAATTTGTTGGAAATGGAGGCGTAGAGTATTCATCTTCTTGTAACTGGCTGATTTCACTTAATGTTGTTAACACATACCTATGCTGTAATGTGACAGGACTTCCTTTTTAAGGCTTAGAAATACTCTTGTTTGTGTAACACTCCATTGTGTTTATCATTCACTGGAGACAGACATGGCTTTACTTGTACCTGTTGGCTATTGTAAAAAATGCTGCAGTAACATGTTTTATGGAAATAGCTCTTGGAGACCTTGGGATAAATATACAAAAGTAGGTTTGCTGGCTCATATGGTAGTTCTGGTTTTTGATTTTTTTTTGACCATAACTTTTTCCATAACAGCTGCACCATTTTAAAGTCCCATCAACAATGCACATGGGTTCCAGCTTTTTCTCCCTTCTGGCCAAACTTGTTACCTTCTGGGTTGTGTTTTGTTTTTCTTTTTTGGGTTTTATTTGTTTACTTATTTTGGTCTTTGTGAGACAGGGTCTCCTTGTAGCCCCAGCTGGCCTGGAACTCACTCTGTAGACCGGCCTGGCCTTGATCTCACAGACTATCACCTGCCTCTGCTTCCCTGGTGCTGGGATTAAAGGCATGCCACCACACCTGGCTCACTTTCTGAGTTTTATAGTAACCATTTGAACAGATGTGAGGCGCTCTCTCCCTGGACTTTGATTTGCATCACTAATAACAGTGATACTGAGATCTTTTCAACCTTTACTGCCCATGTATGTGCAGCCCCTTCTTATCAAGGGGCATTCTAAGGAGCTCAGCACACCATCGTGAGACCCTTGAGAGGCTCTTTGGTGGCTGATAGACTTGTAGTCATTGGCCTAAATGGTTCTAAATAGCTCTTGTGTAAGTCTATGATGCCTGCCGCCTCAGCTCCTCCTTTCTCAGAAGAATTGTACCTTGCACTAATAATCAAGCTCATGATGTGATGATTCATAACTCAAGCCAAAAACCCTAGAGCTCTGACTTTTGTCCCTTTCCTGTGTCTGCTGTAGACTGAAGACCTGAGCCCTGGGATGAATGGCTCTTTATGGTGAGCTTTTTCTTAAAGCCACTGGCTTGCCTAGCCAGCTTGCCTAGCCTTGCTGGCACTGGTCAAACATCTCTTGGCTCCAGGACAGTAGCTGGTGGCTTTGAAGGGGATGGTAATTGCAGTATGTCCCAAGAGGCCTGGGTGGCAACTCACAGCAGTGAGGACTCCAGTTGGGATGGGGCAAGGGGCTGCATTCAAAGGGCTTAAGAGACTCCCCTCAAACCTCAAGCTTGCCCCCTTCCAAAAAAAATACTCCAGCTGGCCAGCCTCCCCCCCCCACACACACCCAAAAACCCTGGCAGTGGCCCAATGGCAGCTCAGGAATGTTGAGTGATGCCTCTCCCTTTCCAAGTGGCCTGAGAGGCCTCAGCTGCCCGGTTACCCGGATTTGAGGATTTGGAGACAATGGAGCCCCAAGTTCCCCCAGACCTGACTCCTTACAAGGTGCAAGCTCTCCGGGATAAGAAATCAGAGAGGCAGAGCAGCCAAGGAAGGCTCTGAGGGCCTGTGGAGAATGAACCATGGGAGGCTGTGTGGGCGGTGGGGAGAGGCCGCTCATAGTTGAGGCTTTATGGGAACACATAGCTACAGGTAAATAGAAGGCCCCATACCATCTGCATACCCCATGCTGGGTTCAAGTGGCCAGAGAGGGTTCAGGCCTTATCCTTGCTTTAGCTCCTCAATCTGTCCAATCTTCCTCTTCTCCATCTCTTCTAGTATGGGTAGAGATCTAACTGACCCCACCCCTACCTAACTGCTTACCATCCCTGAGTCCAGGCCAGGGCCCCAGCGAAGGAAGCCTTAGATGGCCTTTGAGCCAGTCATATCTTACCACTGAGAGATGCTGAATTTAGAACAAGGAGCACATCCTCATGGGCCGCACTGGGTCTGGCCCACAATGTAGAAGTGCATTGGCTGGGAGAGTCTGCTTTCTCCATCCCAGTGATCAGTGTGACCATGTGGGGGCAGCAGTACTTGCAGTCCCCCTTTGGCCAGGGCTGCCACACTCCCCGGAGTGTGCTGGGGTGGGCTTCCAGGATTCTGGGGGAAACCTCTGTAGAAAAGGACCAAACAGCTCCTGTCTGTGGGAACATTGTGGGTTTTTCTGGTGGTTCTGGCTAGCCAAGACAGGAGCTCCCAGAACTGGGGAGAACCAAGAGGACCCCTCCTCAAGCTCTGGTCTGTTCCGTGGTACAAATAATATGGGTCTTCCATATCTGTATATTCATGTGTTCGGTAGCCAAAGATACAAAAGCAGCAGATAGGACATATTTAGATAATTCTGGAAAATTCCCAAACAAAACTGGAATGTGCCACAGGCTAGCCAAGACAGGAGCTCCCAGAACTGGGGAGAACCAAGAGGACCCCTCCTCAAGCTCTGGTCTGTTCCGTGGTACAAATAATATGGGTCTTCCATATCTGTATATTCATGTGTTCGGTAGCCAAAGATACAAAAGCAGCAGATAGGACATATTTAGATAATTCTGGAAAATTCCCAAACAAAACTGGAATGTGCCACACTCCTAGCACTCCACTGAATGAAGCAGTGTGTAGACGGGCCCCGCTGTCGCCTCTCCGTTTTGAAGGCCCCGAGGATGTCCCCAGCGCTCTTTGGCATGTTGCTCACCTCTGGGTCCCTTCCTGTCATGTGCATTTAGGCCTGTAATGGTTACATGAGGACTGAACGTGTCCAGCTGTTTTATTCTTGCTGTTGTTTCCGAAACACAGCAGAACACTTAATAATAGAGCATTTACATCACATTAGGTCTTGATATCCACATGGGGTCCCTGGAACCCAGGTTTCCTACAGTAAACTGTTAAGCCAAGAAGAAATGTTAGCGTAATGGAGAAATATACTTTAAGGTTCTGAAAAGATGTTCTCCCAACCAGAAGTCAGCATCACCTCTCTGCCTTGATCACACTCCGGTGGAGCACCATAGACGTTTCACTAGCCCTCCGGGCGGTTTCATGGCGCTCGTTTGCCAACCGCTGTCTGGAATATAACCTTTTCCTATTGGTGTGAATGTTTAGCTTTTAGGATCGGGTGTCTGTTTCAAAGAAACACCGGACAATTTGGGAATCTACGTACACTCTCAAAAGGATTTGAATTTAATAAGTCAAAAATAGGATCCCGGGGTTGGGGATTTAGTTCAGAGGTAGAGCTTGCCTAGCAAGCGCAAGGCCCTGGGGGGGCGGGGGACAAAATAACAAAAATAGGGTCGTGAAGGGAGAAGAGTGGAAGGCTGTAACAAGCAAGCCACCGGATACGTACTAGTCCATCCATTCACCTCGTGAACAGCAGTACTCAGGCTCCAATGCCGTCTGCTCCTCTTCCTCCCCAGTGGCCACTCTGGGCATCCCCAGCCCTGCAGCCTTCGGGGCGATGAGGCCACACACTCCAGCAGATGGCGGCGGGGGGCGGGGGCGTTGTCCACTGTTTGCGGTGCTTACAGTCCACCCGGAGATTGTGTCCCCTGCTCTAGCCGCTCCGGATGCGCGGCTGGCAACCCACGGCGCCCCGGCCCATCCTTCCCAGCCTCACAGGGCGCAGACCCAGGCCCCGAGGATGCGATGGGGCGCACTGGTCCGACCCCGGAGCGCGCCGCATCCCCATCCCCCTTCACGGTCGGAGACCTAGAAGCTGGGGGCGGGACGGTGCCCCGGAGGCAGGCCGGGCGTGGTGGCCCCGGGGGCCCTCCCGGGTGGGGCGAGTCCCACCGCCACAGCCAATGGTGGGGCAGGCAGTGGAGGCGGGCGCGGGACTGGCCAGCGCGGGGTCCGGGACGAGGGGCGGGCGAGGAGAGCGCTGTCAGCGCGGTTATAAGGGAGGGAGAAGTTCCCTGCGCCGAGAGCCGGGCGGGCGCAAGCTCTTACCGCGGCCGCAGCGGCTGGGCGGGGCCGGCAGGGCGGACAGCGGCGCAGGGAGCCCCCCCGCCCCATTGCGACCTCGCCTCCCTCAGTGTCTCGCTGGGACCGCGGCTACCGCCCGGGGTCCTGAGGACTTTTGCTCAGCGGCCGTGGGTGGAGTCGGGGAGCCCGGCGGGGGGCCGGGGCCGGGAGGGGTCCGCATCGCTGGGGAGCCGCTGCCCATCTTCCGCTGGGAGCAGATCCGCCAGCACGGCCTGCCGGGCGACAAGTGGCTGGTCATGGAGCGCCGGGACTAGGACATCAGCCGCTGGGCAGAGCGGCACCCCGGGGCAGCCGCCTCATTGGCCACCACAGCGCGGAGGACGCCACGGTAAGCTAGCACAGCCGGCGAGGCGGATCCCGGCGCGCGCGGGGCCAGAAACCCTGGATCCTTCGCTCTGCGTCTCATTCCACCTGCGGGCCTTAGGGTCCTTCCTATTCTCGCTGACCTTTGACCTCCACGCCCTGGCCCCAGAGTTGAGATGGAGCTAGAGGCCCTGATGTCGGTAAGGAGGGCGCTTTCTTGCTGGTAGGTCAGTCTGTACAATCGGTCTGTCAGGGAGATAGGGACCCTTGAGTCACCTCTGCTGGACTGGCAGCTGCATGTGGGAAGACTTTGCCAGGCTGGGTGGGCCTCCTCAGGAAGCACAGTCACCCCAGGAACAGCTGGCCTCTGGGGACTCTGGCTTCTCATTCTCAGTCCACACCTAGACAAGGAGGGCCTGCAAGACTATATGGCAGGAGCCCAGAAGCAGGCTGCTTGGAGATTTCCCAACCATTCCTCTGAGCCTCAGTTTCTTCATCTGTGGAGCAGGGAGAGCTGAACCAAATGGCAAATCAGCAAAGGCAGGACCATGCCTTCTCAAATAGGCTGCTATATCACAGGTCTGCAGGTTCAGTAGATGTTCCTCAGTGTAATGTGCAAACTGTACTGTGCAGTGGGACAGCCACAGCACTTCCGAGCCTTTGCTGGGTGACCTTATCGGTTTTTGACCCTGTCAGTAATAGGAAATTGCTGTAGGCCCCAAACACTGGACTAGAGTTGCCAAAAAATACCTGTTGTGCTCAAGTCACAGGGTTGAGAGGTGGTGGCTGGGTGCAGAGGACCCTAGTGTTTGTCTATGATGAGCCTGTAGGACATATCAGGGGTTGGACTAGTACAGTGCCCTATATGGTCAAGCTCAGATGTCAGGTGTCCCATCCCAGGCCCTGAGGCTCAGGTGGGGGAGACTGCCCACTCAACACTAGCCCAGCTGTCCATCAGCTGTTCTCATGTCCAGGCAGCAGCAGCTTTCCTGCCAGGAAATTCCTGCAGTTCCTGTGCCATGAAGTCACCTTGTGACCATCCTGGGATACAAAGCCTGGTACCCTGGGGAAAGCACTCTGGCTCTAGGCCAGGTTTATCTAAGAGTCATAGGCACCCTGAGACAAGCAAAACCAGCCAGAGAGGGGTGAGACCCAGCCATTGCTGGTCATAAGTATATGGACATTGTTAAGATTTTGAGATCATTTAACTGGGATCCAAAGTGTGAAGTGGCCAGTGAAGAGGGTAAGAGATGTATGGACACAGGGACACAGGGTCATGTGCCAAGCATGTCCTATGTGCCAGACTCTAAATTTAATGCTTGTTATTGATACTGTCTGTTAATCCTCAGTATACCGCCTCTGAGGCAGGTACTGCTACTGTTACCCACTTTACACATGAGGAAACTGAGGTAAAGTGACTTGAAATAAAGTGGCAGGTTCCCCACCTGCTGTGCTGCCTCTCAGCTGTTTATTTCAGGTACTCACTGGTTCCTTAAATTCACCCATGAGTGTTTCCTGTGTACCTGACCTCTGGGAACAAAACATCTTCAGGGAAGAAGTGCCTGGGTGGACTGGAGAAGGTAAAGGCTTAGAGGTTGGACCATATCTCCGGTATGGAAGGAATATTTATGACCACAGAAGAGAGTAGTCATGGGGGGTGGGGATCAAAAGGCAGCTCCCTGTGCCTGGGCTCACTGGATGTTTTTGTCCTTGGAAGGGCTTTGGCTTATTCTAAAGAAGAGGGGGAACTATGGAGGGCAGAGCCAGGAAACCAGGGGGGGGGTCTGATGTATGTTTAAAAGGATCTAAAGACTGGGGATGTAGCAGGGCTGGAGAGATGGTTCAGCAGTAAGGAACACTGACTGCTCTCACAGAGGACAGGGTTAGAAGCCCAACACCCACATGGTGGCTAACAACTGCTCATAACTCCAATTCCAGGGGATCTGACACCCTCTTTTGACCTCTGTAGGCATTGCATGACACAGGTACACTTATATACACTCATACACATAAAATAAAAATATTTAAAAGACAGACTGCTTGCCTATCATGTGTGATGTCCTGGGTTCACTCCCTGGCACTCTTGTCCATGTCACATTGATGGTTATGATGGTACACACCTGTAATCCCAGCACTCAGAGGTGGAGGCAGAGGACTCGAGTTCAAGGCCATCCTGGGACACATGAGACCTTGTCTTTAAAAAGAAAGAAGATCCCTAGGAGCGGCAGAAGAGCAGAGGCTATAAGTGGGCAAGACCGGGAAGACAAGGACCCTCTCTTTGGGGAGGCCACTCAGAAGTGAGCATTTAACTGGGCTCCAAAGTGTGAAGTGGCCAGGGAAGAGGGTGAGGGACGTATGGACACGGGGACACTAGTGGGGGCCATTGGGGTTGGTTGTGTGAGCTGGAGACATTGCTCAGTGGTAGGGTGCTTCCTGAGCATGTGCTGGGTTCAGTCTGCAGTAATGTAAAATAAATGTGACAAAAGCAAATAGAGTCCAGGATGGTGGTGCACACCTGTCATCTCAGCACTTGGGAGGTGGAAGCAGGAAGAGGAGGAAGCAGGAAGGAGGAGTTCAGTGTCGTGCAACGGCTCCACATTGACACTGAGTCCATCCTGGGCGACATGAGCCCCCGTCTCAAACAACAACAACAGTAACCGGATATCTTTGTGTTACCTGTCCACGTATTGCAGCTGTTTCCCATCAGTGTGGTAGGGATAAGAGTGCTTTCGTCTGAGGTACAATATAGGAATGATGCTGGGCACCTGGGCGACTGGTTACCATGGACAACGAAGCCTTGTGTTGATAGGTGTGGTAAATTCACTCTTCTGTATGGAGAAAATGAGTTTCCTAGCACCCCTGGGGCCCTTTGGGTGAAATCAGTATCAGCCCTGGGAGAATCCAATGTCCAACAGACCTTCTGAGCCACCAGGCATCTACCTTCTAGTGGCCTGCTGGGCCTGACTTGAGCTAGAGGTGGGAGTGGCCTGTACTGCCATCAGACGCTGTGCGCTAATAATTTCAGCCAATAGTTACTGACCAGGCTCTATTCTGAGAGTTTTAGATGTAATAACTAATTTAATTCTTCCATTAACCTCATGAGATTGGGTCCTGTCTGTTGTACAGATGAAGAAACTGAGGCAAAAACTGAGCTATGTCATAGGACCCTAAAATACCAGAGCCTTCAGTCCTGGGCTTGTAAAGCAAGGTTACATCAGGATGGGTGCTGAGGAGTGACCGTATTATGACCAGGAAGATCTGAAGCCTAGTTGAGGGCAGGGTGGCCTCAGCCATAAAGAATCAATGTCCATACTCCCACCTACCTCACTGGCTGCTTTGGAAGTCTCAGTTCAGCAAATAGTCTCTCCCTTTAAGTGTGGGGCCTGAGTAGGCATTTGTTTTGTTTTTGAGACAGAGTCTTACTATGTATCCCTGGCTGGCCTAGAACTCACTATGTAGACCAGGCTGGCCTTGAATTCACAGAAATCCACCTCCATCTGTCTCCTGAGTGCTGATGTAACCATCTAGGGGTCAAGGTCGGTCGTTGTCTAGGCATTGTGGGGTCCATTTTCTCAGCCAATTAAAGAATTTAAGGACAGGAATAACCTCAGACACAGCAGGCGGGAACAGGCAACAGACTTAATTAAAAGATGAAGAATTGGGGCTGGAGAGATGGCTCAGTGGTTAAGAGCACTGATTGCTCTTGCAGAGGACCCGGGTTCGATTCCCAGCACCCACATGGCGGCTGCGAACTGTCAACTCCAGTTCCAGGGGAATCTGAAGCCCTCTTCTGACCTCCATGGCATTGCATGACATGGGTGCACTCACATACATACAGGCAATACATTCATACACGTAAAATAAAAATAAATTAAAAAAAATTATAAAAAAGATGAAGAATCACACCCACACAGAGAATAGGACTCCCCACAAGTAGAGGGGTTGAGAAACGAAAGTCCAAGTCCCCCTGGGAAGGCCTGGGCTCTTAAGTGTTTTAGTGGGTCCCTCTCCCTCGGGCCTTTGTCTCCAAATACGATGACAAATAAGTACACCGTCTTTATTACTCATCAGCGCCTCTTTCCCTCTGTACCTGCCTGTCCCCCAAATATGGCTAGTTCCTAGTCCCATTCTGGGTTACAGGCATGAGCCACCACACCTGACTCTAGTGGGCATTTTTTATAGGTACCTTCTCTAGAAGGCTGTGGTGCCCAACCTCCTTCCTGGAGGGGCGGAGTCGGGGTTATTGCTCCGGCTGGAATGCAGTGTGCAGAGGTGGAAATCCTGGTGACCTCAGAGCATCAGGCTCCAGTGGCAAAACCACAGGTCAGTGGTAGAAAGGACCAAGAGCTGGGGGGCTTGGTCATTTTCAGGCTAGCGTCTGTGAACCATCCTGGCTATCGGAGGACCAAATGTGTGTGTGCCCGGCCTTCACAGAGACCAAGGATGCGGAGGGGGAAGGGATAGCTGCCTGGGCTGAAGCATCTACCCTCGAGTAGGGCTCTCCTGCACAGACTGGAGCTGTATGTACTGGTTCCGGAGCAACCTCATTCGTGCCTCAGTTCTCCATCTGTAAGGGGTGCTAGGGAGGGGATGGCAATGGCCTTGGCTCCTCCTTTATATCTTCCATTTGGAGAAAGGGGGAGGCAGGGATTTCCCAGAAATGTCCTCGGAGACCCTCACACCCCTCCTCTCCTGCACAGGCATAAAGAGGCAGCAAGGACAGACCCAGACTACTCTAGCCCCAATAGCCCAGCCTGTTGTTCCCTGTTCCACCCCCTTCTTGGATGATCTAGAACACTCTCCATTCTTTGGCCACAGACTAAAACTCCCTCCCTCCTTCTTGTGCCTGGGGTAGAAAGAGGCTGCTTTCTCCACTCTCCTGACTCCCTGTTCCTTAGCATGAGGCTCAGCTGGGCCTTGACTAACACATCATGTAGCATTCCCTTACTGTAGCCCTGGGGCATAGAGGAGAGCTGGGCCATGAAGATCTTGTTAGCCACTAGGCCCTTTCTAAGTGCTTTAACC